TATAGATGATAATAGGAATATGGGGATTATGTTGTCATTTTCCTACAATGTACTGTGCTCCTTTTTATTTATACTGAATATATATTACTTTTAAAGTGAATGAATCCTATGTAGTTTCATACATTTTTTTATCACTAAAATGCACAGAGTGTTGGATGTTATATTTAGTTGTGGGATATTTTGCCTTTATTGGTTTATCCCATGTTCATAACTATGCCTCATTGAATAAAATAAACAAATATTTCTCTGATAAATTATTCCATTTATTCATCTGTGTCAGTGATGAATTTGGGTAGTAATTGATTCATTTTGCTGTCTAGATAATCACAGTCTAGATGGATTGGCTTGTTATTTAAAATATCTTTGGTACTTGGCAGAGTTTGACTGGGGTATGAATCAAGTTGTTAACACAAAGATACAAGGAAAATGGAAGAAAAGAGAAATCATGAATGTATACAGACAAGAGGAAAATGTAATAGAATATTATACATTCACTAGTGTAATATAATATACATTGGTGAGTAGTTGGTTAGGGAATCAACCATAGGAGATACATGCTCAATAAGTCTGGTACTCTTTGTTAAATTCTCCTTGAACAAATTTTTAACTTTTTGACTCTCTATAACTTGGCTAGCCAAACTGTTTAAAATTAACTCCTTTAATTATTTTTCATAAGCTATTTATTCTTTCATCTGTATTGCTTTTCTCCAAAGTTCCCTGAATGATATGTGTATAAAGTAGCAGAATTAGTGTCAGGAATATATCATATTGTATCCTGTTATTTCTTTGTGTACAGTTTACTTTTCACTGGGTTGCTGACATCAGTAACTTGTATCTACTTCTCTGCTTGCTCTCTTCCATAAGCTACCTTTATTATGTCTGTTTAAGTTTCTAATCTGAATTTTTAAATTATTATTAATTACATTTAATTAGTTACATTTTTATTATTTTACTTTAGATCCACCTTTTATATTTCTTAATGCATTTTAATAAACTTAGTTTATCATGAATACCATGAAACATTTGTTTCCTTTTTTCCTTCAGGCCTTTAAAAATGAAATGGAAATGAGGACTAGTGTCTTTATAATAAAGCCTTTGCACCTCTGTAGTTCTCAAGTTGATAGAAACATTTAAAATCTCCTTTTTAATTTTTTTTTGGGGAATTTTACCATAAATCATGTCATGATTATTTATTAAAATAATTTTTGAACTATTATTAAAACTATTATTAAAATAGTTTTTGAACATAACCTCAAAATAAGGATATTACTATTATAAGCTCAGGGCAGAGGAGCTCTTGACCTGTGATTACTTGTTAAGCTTTTCTAAATAGTCTTAAAAGAATGATCTGAATTAAGTGAGGGTCTGTAGTTTAATGGTTTTTAGCCATTTGACAGTATTTGAAAGCTGTAGAACTCCTCCCAAGGGAAAAAGAATGGACATGATACATATTCCCATCTACAAATACTCATATATATCCTTTTTTTAAAAAAAAATTTATTGTGATTTGGGGGAAAGTTTACAGAGCAAATTTACTTTCCATGCAGCAGCTCACATACACTTTGTCTCATGACATTGACTGCAATTTCCCACAGTGTGACAGCTCTCCTCCCACTTCCTCCCCATGGTTACCTCTTCCCTGTGTCCTTTCCTCTCATACACTCCTGTCCCCTAAGCTGTCTCCCTGTGCATACACAGCCCTTCTATTCTCCCATGGTTGATCTCTCGAAGGAGTGTATGTACCTAATGTAAATGTTCAGCTCATATGCTTGTCTTTTGTTTGCCTGGAAGCCACAGGAAAGGGTTCAATTCCAGACCTGAAGGGCAGCTAGGAGCCATAGTCTCAGTGGTTTCATTAGGCTCTATCAGATCAGCAAACTTTGTCCCTCCCCCTTTTTTTTTCTCCAAATGATTTTGAGTTTTGTTCTACATTGTTCTCCCATTCTATCCTGGATCTCCTCCTATATAGATCCACCTCTGAGTGGTTTACAGTGGTAGCTGGGCACAATCTAGTTGTTTTGGTCTCATAGTTGTATAGGCTGGGAATTGCATGGTGTACCTGTCGCTTGGACTAATTGTTTCCAATTCCAGTTTGGTTTTGTTCATTCTTTGCTCTGGACAAGGAGAGACCCATCCCATTGTTGCATCTAGATGTCTGCTTGCAAGCTTTTAAAATCCCAGTTGCTACTTGCTAAAGTAGGATGTGGAACAGTTTGTGTAGTATGTTATGCTAGTTGAGCTTGATGTCCCCTGTGACTGTGGTCCCAAACCTACAGGTCCAACTGCTGTCTCCCTCTGGGTAGCTGGCTGTGGCCAAGGAGTGACTACAATCTTGCCCCTTATTGACTCTACTATATACCTGGGAATTCTTATAGAACATAAAACAAATGCACTTGTAGAAACATTGTCTGCCAACCCTATACATGGTCTTGGGCACACTCACCCCTGCATAGACATACCTAATAATCCACCCATTTACCCACCTGTATATCAATGCTTGCCTTCACTGACGACACAGTACTCTATGTGCAAAAGGGTTCATCTTTGTTGTCTGTACCTCCCGTGCACCTCTATGTGTCTTCCTCTTCCTCAGTGCCATCGTGTTGATCACTCACAGTTGGTACATTGCCCTTCTCTTCATCCAAATCAATACTTGTCTCTACCTGTCTAACAGTGTTCCCTCTTCTTCCCTCCTACCCCTGGTAACCAACAAAGAAAATTTCCTTCCATATATAAACCTTTCCTTGACTTTTTATAATAATGGACTAATACAAATTGTCCTTCTGTGATTGACTTATTTCACTCAGCATAGTGTCCCCCAAGTTCATCCACGTTATGCTTTGTTTTGCCTATTCTATATCATTCTTTAGGGTTGCATAGTATTCCATTGTATGCACACTCATATATTATCCTTTGCAGTCTTTTGTGGGAAGTAAGTCTGGTGGTGGCATGACAGTGACATTTCAGCTAAAAGATTTGCCACATGTCTTCAGTATCCACTATAGTAGAGTCTCTGCTTATTTAAATATCTGTAAGTTTTACTACCATCTTTTTAATTTACCTGCATATAGATTCAAAGCAAATTAATTTCATACAAGTGCAGCTACTTTGAATTTTGTGATTTAGGATAGAAGGAATTGTATGGAAGTATATAGCTATATCATTACACACCAGTCCTTGGACTAAGATGGTATAGGTAAGCTTCAGTTATAATGCCCCAACATTATAAATTTATTTCTTTAGAAAATCTGTTTCTGAAAATGTTGTTTGGTGAAAAACTTGAGTGGAGCATAGTAACTGATCCTTCGTTGGCTTCTGCTACCAATAAGAAATTCTTTGGTATTTATCTTCCAGGTAAAGATATATTAAGTGAAAGGTAAATGGTAATCTTACTTATCTTAGGGGGAAAAAAAGGAAAATAATTTAAAGTATTATTTTATGTAATTTTGTATAGACTTACGGTAACATCAGACCTTAGACTTTAGAAATATTCTAGAACAGCTTGCCTTTTTATAGAAAAAACAAAAGAAAACAAAACTGAGAGATTAAGATACTCATTGGAAATCATGTACTTCATGTCAGAGTAAGGATTAGCACTCAGGTACTTTGATTATTCAGGACCACCCTAGCCCTCTCATTTTCTTCTGCTTTTGATTCATTATCTGGCAACAGCCTATAGTCTGAAAAGCAAATCACATTTTTTTAAAAAAATAACTTGTGTTTTAAAATCTTTTGAATAGTCTACAGATTTTCATTCAGAATCAGACTTACCGATTTAGAATGTTACATTAAAGATATACTGAAATTAATTTTTTGAGGCTATGAACCACTTAGCATTTCTTTTCTTTAATTTGTTTTCGTGTCAAATTAGAATAGTCCTATAAAGCATTATTTTTTTAAGGCTTTTTGTGTAATTTTTCTTTTGCTGTTTGAAATACTGCTTTCAGGAGATGAATAAAATAAAATGTTCTTTGGTGTCAAACATAATTGGAACCTTTTTATTTTTCAAAATTTTAATTATGGGCACAAAAATAAGTTACTGATTCTTTTCCCATTTTAATTTTGGAATAGCATGTATTTTTGATGAAATCAGTGAAATAGAATAGTTTATGTCCTTCATACGTATTCTAGTACCAGAAATTTTTACCTGTCAATTTATGTTTTGTAAATAAGTTTCCCCTATAAGAAAACTGACATTTTTCTGATCTATTTTTTTCCTTTTTAATATATCATAGATTTAAATAGTAAATAAATTAGAGGTATAAATGAGTACATACAGTTACAAATGGCACCTGGACTTGAGTAATACCCAGGGTCAGTGTAGTTGAGAGCCATATTCTAAGTTTATACTCAAGTTCTTAGCATCAATTACAGTTTTATAACAAATGCACTTTTTAAAATTATGGTGTGCTAACTTTATTAATGAAATTCCTCTTGATGAAAACTTATTTTATCTTAGAAAATAGCCTTAAGCATTCTCCTTTAATTTACTGAATTAGATCAAACTGTTTGAAAAGATTTAGGATAATTGTAGTGCACATGGTGTCCAGTATTTTTCCTTTTTCATAGTTTATAAAGTGAAGTATTTTAAACTCCTTTGGAATTAAATTTTTCTTCTCTAATAATAAGCTATAATCTAGTCAAAGGATTTTCAACATCAGCTTTCATTTTATAATGCAGAAGCTGCACTGTGATATAAAACCTTATGACATTTTAATTAGGAAAATAGATCATGGAACTCCATATGAGGGAATAAATTTCTCACTGCTTGCATGTTCTACTAAATTGGAATGGAAAATTTATTAAATCTCACATAAAGTTAGATCTATTTTTAAAATTGTGGAGCCAGGGAAAAAGGGGGTAGGATGAGGGTTGTGGAATGTGTTTGGGAGTCTATGGTAGGAGTGGGGTTAAAGCAGATCTTTAATCATAAAGAGAATGGAAATTTTGGCCAGAGCATTTGCGTTACATGGTTCTTTCCCCTTTTTTGTTTATTGCAGGCAAAGGGGAGGATAGTGACGTACTCAGTATAAATGCAGATGCTTATGACAGCGACATAGAAGGCCCATGCAACGAAGAAGCAGTTGTTCCTGAGGTCCCAGAAAATACAGTCCAGAGTGAAGCTGGTCAGATAGATGACCTGGAGAAAGACATTGAGAAAAGTGTGAATGAGATTTTGGGACTGGCAGAGTCTAATACAGAGGAACCCAAAGCAGCCACCCTGACTGTTCCTCCACCAGAAGATGTTCAGCCTTCTGCACAACAACTGGAGCTGCTAGAACTTGAGATGAGGGCAAGAGCTATTAAGGCACTAATGAAAGCTGGTGATGTGAAAAAGCCAGCATAGTTATAAATTTGAATTTTAGGTGTATTTGAATGAAGCCACATCATATAATTTTGTATATGAAGTTTATTTTGAGTCTTATGTGATGTTTCTCATGTGATCCTTGTTGGGTAAACTGATCATAGGCCTAAAATGGCTGTGGTTGTTTTTGTTACTTTTATATATATGTGTGTGTTACTGTTTTATGAATTCATGACAACTATGGTTGGATAGCCTGGATGCTTTGTTACATGAGTGCATAGTTAAGTTGGCAAGGTAATGTTTTGAAAGCCGTTAGCAGAGAGTCACCATATTTTTTCTTTTAAGTATTTTGCCACCAAACCTAAATGCTTCACAAAGATTGACCAAGCATGTTGCTCTTAAGGTTACCTATAGTTTGCAATAGAATATTAAATTATTACTCCCAGATTTGTTAACAGTTTAAGAAATTTAGTTTTGCTTGTCTGCACTTTTAAAATATACACTATCTAGGAGATGCTTTCTGTTGGTGTGGATTTACTAGTTAAAACTGAACCACATTTTTCTTTATAAGGCTTAGATATCTCAGATAGCTGAGGGAAACATTATAAGTGAAAAAAGTGACTAATTTAAGACAATTATTAACAATGTAGAACTAATAGCCCAAGTTTAATTCCAGCAGATGAGTCATTCTAACAGGTATTTGATACTGTTGGACACTGAATTCAAGGTTTTTTTTTTTTTTTTGGGTGGTGGTTGTTTGTTTCAATAAAAAAGGAACAAATTTTCGTTTACATTCCAAGCTGTCAGGAAAAGGTGAATGTTTCATTGTATAGCATTTCATGTAGTGTTTTTTCTTGAAGATCTGATGTGCTATAAATTCCATGAATCAAAAATAATAGAAACTGTCTCATTCTGGATCTGAAGACTTTTGATACTTTTCCAAAAATGAAATTAATTTCATGGAATTTTGATAAGTTGATGTCATAATTAATTAATTTTATATAGTTTTTGTAAATTAACATCCTGCCATAATGAAGGATACTTTTCCTTCTCATCGTTAATTGCAGTTGTTTGATACCAAAATAAATTTAGGTAGGGACCCTTAACTTAAATTAATTTTTCATCTTGAAAAAAAAAACCTCTGACTTGTTTTTACATTTGATTACAACTATAGTGCATTGTATTTGTAAGCTGTGCTCTACTAGTGTTGAATGAGAATCTTCCTCATACACAAAGGGATTGTATTTTGCTAGTTGACTTAATTATATGTTCATTTTAGAGGGTTTCTTAGGGAACTAGAGAACATTTATTAAACATTGGAGTTGCAGCTACACATTTTTTCCTGAACATGTTTTTAAAAATAAGTCTGACATTTTTTCTTTTTTTTCTCTCCATGAATTTTTCTAATAAACACAGAGGCCTATGTCATTTGAAATGCCTCTCTTAACGTTGGTCAGTGTGGTTGTGATTTAAACAAGGAGTTCTCATTGTTACTGCTTTAGGATGAACAAGCATTGATTATGGTAAAATCATTTTCTTATTCCAAATGAAATAAAACATTAAAATAATAAAAATAATAAACTTCATTATTGCTTACTAATTATAAAATGCAGTAGTTGTCATTTGTGCAGTTGAACATGCCATAAAGGTAGAAAATGGTCTGAGTGCTGTGACCAATTAAAGTCACCACCTTCGTGGAACATTGTGTGTCTGTTTTATTCAGTGTGCAGAATAGTTGAGAGGACATTTGACTGGAGTGGATATGTGTGAGGTAGAATGAGCTGAACAAATTAGAAGCTAGTTAGATTCCTACCTTAGAAAATCAACTTCTCTCTCTTTTTTTATTCTTTTCCTTATTTTCATAATGAAAGACTTGAAAGGTTTTTGAGAATGAATGGCTTTAGAAAATGGGAATAAGTTTGTTTTAAAAATGCCTATGCAATGAAAAAATACCATATATTGATCTGATGCTGCCATTTAAATCATCAGCTCCTAGGTATTTATTGAATGCCTCTAACATTTCAGGCTTGTTCAGAATATTAAATCTGGAGATGCTACAGTATGGAGTTATGCATGGAATTCACTGATTAATGAAGATACAGGTGCTGCTATTTCGTACTCTTAATGCCTCCTTTTTGCTGAGATAGGTAATTTCTAGACATTATTTAATTAATTAAAAAAAGAAAAAGCCCCTCTAATTTCCCATTCAACATCAAGGAGTTCTGATATTTGACTCAAGTCCTGAAGGAAAGATGGTAACTGATAATGGGTCCTCTGCATTGATGAGCAGTTGCCCGGAGCACAAGGCCTTAAGCCTACCCTTAGATGTGTCTACTAATCTGTACACTCAAGATAAGTCTTAAAATCTGTCACCCAGTTAACAGCATAACATTTCCATTGAGAAAAAATTGCCCAAACCCTCCAAATCCTTTCATTGTACACCGTTAAGTCGTTAAAACTATCAGGCTGTATATCCTTTCCTTATAAATATTGTCAAAACTTCTTTTTAGTGAATTGTTAGATTGAGAGCATGATTAGTTATCTGAGTGAAGGTCTGAATCATTTCATCAGTAATAAAAATTTCAACAAAATATGCATTTTTAAAATGCCGTTTTCAAGGCAAATATGAAACCACAGTTAGAGCCTAATATGTATGGCACCCTCCAAAATGTCAAAAATTCTCAGTACTATTCCATCCTAAAAAGTAGAAGGGAGTGTGTGTCTAATCCTTAAGATGTACAAGACCAATATGTTTTTTAAAAATTTTTATTGTAATTTGGGTGAAAGTTTACAGAGCAATTTCATTTTCCATCCAGCAGTTCATACACATTTTGTCTCATGACATTGACTGCAATTTCCTGCAATGTGACAGGTCTCTAGCCAGTTCCTCCCAATAGTTACCTCTTCCCTATGTCCTTCCCTCCCATGCACTCCTGCCCCCCAAGTGGTCTCCCTGTGCATACACTGCCCTTCTGTTCTCTGAGAGATCTGATCTCTCCGGTGAGTGTATCTATCTGATGTAAATGTTCAGCCCATATGCTGGTCTTTTATTTGGTTGGATGTCACAGGAGTGAATTCAGTTCTAGACCTGAGAGGGGGGGCATAGTCACAGGGGTTTCTCCGGGCTCTATCAGACCAGCAAGCCTGGTCTTTTTTTTTTTTTTTTTTCCAAATAATCTTGAGTTTTGTTCCACATTGTTCTCCCACTCTATCCAGGATCTACACAGATGCCCCTCCAAATGGTTGACAGTTGTAGCTGGGCAACGTCTAGTTCTGGTCTTATGGTCATAATCGACTGAGGATCGCATGAAGACCAATATGTTTTGATTAAAAGCTGCTTTAGATTTTTTAGGGAGCTCTGATGTGGTGGTAGGAGCTGTGGTAGCATAGTGCCTAAGGCATTTAACTGCTAACCAGAAGGCTGGCGGTTCAAACCCACCAGCCACTCCTCGGAAGGAAGATGGGGCAATCTACTCCCGTAGTGATACTGCCTTGGAAACCCAAGGAGGGGTCGCTATGAGTCAGATCCGACTCGACGGCAGTGAGTTTGGTTTGGTTTAGTGTGGTGGTTAAAGCATTTGACTGCTAACTGAAAGGCTGGTAGTTTGAACCCACCTGCCTCTCTATGGGAGAAAGATAAGGCAGTCTGTTTCTGTAAAGATTTATAGCCTTGGAAACCCTACTTCAGTGTACTCAGTCCTGAAGGGTTGGCATGAGTCAGAATTGACTCGATAGCAGTGGGTTTGGTTTTGTAGTTACATATATCTATCTATCTATCTTCAATTAGCCTCCCTTTTTTAAAACAACAAAAAAGTGCTAGTGAATAATCAATGTTGTTAGGTGCTGTGGAGTTGGTTTCAACTCAGAGATCCTTTGTATGACAGAACAGTATACTTGCCTGATCCTTGTACCAGCCACACAATTGTTATCCTGAGCCCATAGTTGCAGCCACTGTGTCAATCCATCTTACTGAGTATTATTATTTTTCTCTGACCCTCTGCTTATGAAGCAAGATATCCTTCTCCAGAGACTGGACCCTCCTGGTAACATGTCCAAATTGAGATGACTCACACTGTCTTTGCTTCTAAAGAGCACTTCTGGTTGTACTTCTTCCAAGGCAGATTTGTTTGTTCTAGTAGTCCATTTGTTGTTGTTAGTGCCATCGAGTCATTTCTGAGTTATAGCAACCCCATGCACAGCAGAAAGAAACACTGCCCAATCCTGCGCCAGCCCCATGATCCTTGCTATACTTGAGCCCATTGTTGCAGCCACTGTGTCAGGCCATCTCATTGAAGGCCTTCCCCTCTTAAGTCAACCCTCCACCTTACCAAGCATGACATCCTTCTCCAGGGAATGATCCCCTCTGACAACATGACCAAAGTAGGTAACTAGTAGTCCATAGTATATTTAATATTCACAAAACCATAATTCAAAGACATTAATTCTTTTTGGTCTTCCTTTTTCATTGTCCAGCTTTCCATGCATATGAGGTGATGGAAAGTACAATAGCTTTGGTCATGAAGACCTTATTCCTCAAGGTGGTATCTGCTTTTTAACACATAAAAAAGGTCTTTTGCAACAGTTTTGCTTAATGAAATATGTCGTTTGATTTCTTGACTGCTGCTTCCAAAAGCATTGATTGTGGATCCAAGTAAAATGAAATCCTTCATACCTTCAATATTTATTTTCTGTTTACCATGATGTTTATTGTATTTGTCCAGTTGTGTTTTCTTTATGTTGAGGTGTAATCCATACTGAAGGCTCCAGTCTTTTTTTTTTTCTTTCAATTTCTATTGTGATTTGGGTGAAAGTTTACAGAGCAAATTCATTTTCCATACAGCAGTTCACATACACTTACGATGTTGACTGCAATTTCCCACAATACAATGGCTCTCTTCCCATCTCCTACCCATAGTCACCTCTTCTCTGTGTCCTTCCCTCACATGCACCTGCCCCCCAAGCTGTCTCCCTGTGCATACACAGCCCTTCTATTCTCCCATGATTGATCTCTCCAAGGAGTGTATCTACATAATGTACATGTT